CATACATCTCTGATCACATACAAGAAGAGTATGCATGCATCTGTTCAGCCATCTTAGCTTTGTTTTCAACAGGGATTGTTAAACCGTCTGCTGCACATAGCTTTCATCAACCACAGGCTAAACACAACCCTAAAAAGCAAAGCTTAAGAAGTGATTTATTTAGTAAGCACAGCTTGACATGTATGGTAAGTGGATTACTGCGGACATAAGACTCCTGACAGGCCATTGTTTAGTGTAAAACAAGGTTAGCCTTCCCACTTACTCACCTTTAGGGCCTTTAACAAGCTTTATTTCCATTATTTTCTCGGTGATCGGCTTTCTTCTTCTGACATATAATCGTACAATGGATCCTGCCTCTTTTAATGCCTCAACGGCTTTGCTGTGTGTCACATCATGTACATCCACATCATTCACCCGTAATATACAGTCATTAACCCTGAGGAGACAGCAGGGATATTTTAGGAAAGGTAGTCATTAAGGCAAGAGAGCCTACAGTTCACACCAATGGTATATCAAATGTAATAGCATTCATGTTGGTGCATATGATTATTTTATAATACAGCAGTTTTTAAACACAAGGAAACTACAGATTTTAATTCTATGTCTTAACAACACAAATATAAAAACACACCTCTACATACAAGCATACGATGTGAGTTAAGTTATTCTCTTCAGACACTGATGCATCATTGATTCCCGATCCAAAATACAGTCACCTCATCTACAACTTACTTCCCTCTGGATTCTAACCATTTATCCCTAAATATAGTAACAGACATCCCAGCCCTTCTCATTTTAGGGGGGGGGGGGCACCTCCCTGAAATGATGGCATATCGCAGAGGAGCCAACGCTTCCCCTGCTATCTGCTGGGTTTTTTTGGGGAATTCTGACAGTGTAAAGATAATAAAAAAAAAAAAAAACAGATAGCAGGGGAATGATTAGCTAGGCTGCTATTGGCCAATCAGCAGAGGTGGCCTGAAGGTCCATCTCTGCTGATTGACAGCAGCAGTGGGCAGGTACAATAACCAGCCTGCTATTGGGTACTGCAAAGTGAAATAGCCAATAGCAGCCCAGCTATTTATTCCCATTATTTTTTTTTTCTTTCTTATTCTGACGGCAGCCGGTGGTTAGCCATCAAAAAGAAAAGAAAAACACAAAACAGATAGAAGGGGATCCTGGAAAGGTTTACTCTGCTCCCGGAATGTCTGGGAGAGTTGGGATGTCTGCAGAAAGCTCATACAGGAAAGGCCCTTTAACCTATTAACTCTTCTTCGTGTACTTTCAAACAGACAACTGTATTTAATAATCTTTGAGACATTTTAGGTATTATTGTAATAATCTTCAGAACACTGATTATACTACTTTGTATAGCATAATTTGGTAAATCTATTTGTGAAGCCTGTTAAATGCAATATGTAGGATATGTTTCTCTTAAGTGTACTAAAAGTGTATCTAAACCCAAAACCTTTTTCCAGTCCCTAGCTGGCTATGCTTAGTGCATCACTGTATCTAAGAGGCGGCCATGGTCACCACTCAGGCCGGACTTAAACCTGTCAGCCTTTGTTCATCTGGGGATGGGGAGATTAGTGGTATACAGAAGATAGATAATGTTTTAGGGATCCAAGTCAATTCATAGGAAGTGATAAAGACACCACATTGCTGGCAATGTAAACAGATATCTATACTTGCTGAAAATGTTCTTGGCCTGAAAAAAGGGAAACTAAAGCAACCACCACATCCAAGGACTGGTAAGCTGCAATGTTTTAAATGTGTTCTTGGATTTAGTCAGGGTCATAAGATGAGGTTGCCTCAGGCAACATCTCACTGGGTCATGCGTGTGTGTGTGTGTGTGTGTGTGTTTCAGCCAGAGTGTCCCAGGTTGGGGACTGACTTGCATCCTGACTAGCTCCTGGCAACTAATGAGCCAGTGAGCGTACCATGCGCACCCACCCCCTCTAACCCTTCGCAAACACCTCTTCTGCATTGATAAAAGCATGGACCTCCAAATTTTTAAAATGGAGGGGGACAGGCTTGTTCTATTTTCTGTATAATAAAAAAAAAAAAAAAACCAAAGCCAAAAAACAAAAAAAACAACAACTTAGAATATACTCAGTGTAAATATGATGTGTTTCTGTGTCAATCTTGTCATACAGGGTCAGCTCACTGCAAAGAATGCTGGCACAAAACTCACGAAGCCAGTTAAATCAACATCTCTATCAGAAGTCTTTGGGAAACCTATTCTGGGAAAAAGCTGAGTCAGACAAGATTTTTGTACTTACTGTAAAATTGGTCTTATGAAGTTCATTAAGTGTCACATGATTCAGCATTCATGGACAATTGGGTTATAATGCTGCATAGAGGAGGAATTGGACAAAAAAAAAAAAAAAAAGCCATTGGCCAGCCAGATATAACCCCTCCCATTCCCATCATCTATCAGTTTGGTAGAAAAGCAGTATTAGGAGTAGATCACAAACAGTGGGGTGGGGGCCTGTGTCCCTTAATGAACTTAAAGAAATGGATTTTATGGTAAGCACAATATCCTGTTTTCTTTCATGTTCATGGACACAGAATTTAGTATTTATAGACAATTTAGCAGTCCAAAACCAGTAGAAATGAGGAGTGGGCAACAACACACTAGCAGGCCCACAATTACAATGAACAATACTGCTGAACAAAACGGAGAGCAGACTGCAGCTTTAACAGCTGCCTGCATGACCTTACGCCTGAAGCTGGCATCAGACGAGGCCTAAACATCCACCTGGATGGCAACATGGAATGCAGCTTTGTGAGAGATAGTAGAAAGGGGAACATCCCTAATAGGTTTAGAGGGTGGTCACTGAAGTGCTTACGGAAACCGTTTTAGATCTCATGGAGTCGCAGGTGGTTGTACAGCAGGGGCGACCCTGTACAAAAAGGTCTTGACCAATTAATAGGAGGCTTGAAGTCTTTGGAATAAGAACAAAAAGCCTGATTTGCCACCTTATGGTATTGGGGGCCAAATGTTGATCTAGGCCTGACTGTAAAAATGTTAGGATTCTTATCATGGAATATTTCCTGCGGTGAGATTTTCTTTCTTTGCACCAGACAAATTAAGCATTCTATGTGCAATCGTAGACCTTAAAGGATTTAGACTTCCTCACTTTTAACTAAGTGGTAATTGCTGAATCAGAGTGACCTCGGTCTTAAAACCTGGCCTTCAACAGCCATGCTGGTTGTTCTGGAAGAGCCAACAGAGTGTCTGCCAGAAATTTGATCAGGTTGGAGTACCACATCCAATTAGGCCAGTTCAGAGCTGAATGAGGAACAACAGAATGCCCTCTATCTCAATTCTTCAGAGTAGCTGAGGAAGGAGTTTTAGAGAGGGGAAGGCATAGACTAGCTTAAGGTGGCCATACACTGTGCAAATTTTAGTTAAGGAACCGGACAAAATTTGCACAGTGGGTGCTGCTGTCGGCACCCTATCGGCCGGAATCCCTCGATCAGCTGATCGAAGGGGCCAGTTGGAAAATCTTAGGAGCAGAGCACACTGCCAATGAGCTGCCGGCTCTGTTTAGGTATTCTACAGAATACAAAAGAAACCGCTGGGATTCCTTGATCAACGAGCTTGCAGGGTTGGAGGAATCTGCTCTATTTTTTTCTTTGAGCGTGTGTTTAACAAAAGAAATTGTGCCGTGTATAGCGAGCTTAACCACCGTCCTGGACCTGGAGAGTGATCTGTGGCTAACGCAGTAAACAATGGTCTGAGAAAGTGCCAAAAGCAGAGCTCAGTGCCTGGGTATCACATTACAGGCAGGTCATGCAATCTTCGGTCCAGCAGTGTCTTAGCCAAACATGTTGCCCCTCCTTCCTGGTAATAAAACACTGTGCATAAGGTAGATCATAAGGCGCCTCCCTCCCTACTGCCTAGAAAAACTACCCTGCCTCCTTCCCACCATCAGCACCACTTCCAGTGGGCGAGACAGGCCCTTCCTGCCAAAACTCTGTGTGCGCTCCATTGATGTCATCAGTGTCAACCCGTGAATGGGAGGATGCCCAGGAGGGCTGCGCCAGACTTAACACAAAGTAAGGATGAGGAAAAGAGGATCAAGGGGTGTAACTCCTCCCGGAAACTGTTTGGAGGCAGAGACAGACAGTATAGACACCTGCTATTCCCTCTGCATGTGCAGCGTCCCCTGTTTGCATCTCCTCCAGTGAACAAAATCTCTACTCCAGGATTCCATCTTTCACTGCAAGCCATTACCCACAGCAAGGAAACATCCATGTGCGCATAGTACCAGGATTTCTCGGTGCCTACAACAGACTGCTTGTTAACCCACATACTTTGTTGGATTTCGCTGCTTCACTTAGTTACATCTCTGATCATAAACGCACACAACTCCTTTCCCCTTGAATGAGTATCTCCAGCGTGAGTAACAGGTACTTTGTCTCCAATTCTTTATTAGATCCCCAAGTTATTATATTTGTGTCTTCAATGTTGCAATCACAGATGAACACAAAGTTTGCCCTAACTGCGGGCATTCTGCCTGTGGTCTAGGATGGAGAAACATCCATCAGTGTACTTCCGTTTCATTAGTTTTATTCACAACCATTCCGATTCAATATCATATACATATATTGCCAAAAGTATTGGGACGCCTGCCTTTACAGGCACGTGAAATTTAATGGTATCTCAGTCTTAGTCCGTAGGGTTCAATATTGAGTTGGCCCACCCTTTGCAGCTATAACAGCTTCAACTCTTCTGGGAAGGCGTCCACATGGTTTAGGAGTGTATCTATGGGAATGTTTGATTATTCTTCCAGAAGCGCATTTGTGAGGTCAGGTACTGATGTTGGACGAGAAGGCCTGTCTCGCAGTCTCTGTTCTAATTCATCCCAAAGGTGTTCTATCGGGTTGAGGTCAGGACTCTGTGCAGGCCAGTCAAGTTCCTCCACCCCACCCCATCCATGTCATGTTGGAACAGGAAGGGGCCATCCCCAAACTGTTCCAACAAAGTTGGGAGCATGAAATTGTCCAAAATGTCTTGGTATGCTGATGCCTTAAGAGTTCCCTTCACTGGAAATAAGGGGCCAAGCCCAACCCCTGAAAAACAACCCCACACCATAATCCCCCTCCACCAAACTTTACACTTGGCACAATTCAGTCAGGCAAGTACCATTCTCCTGGCAACCGCCAAACCCAGACACGTCCATCGGATAGCCAGACAGGGAAGCGCGATTCGCCACTCCAGAGAACACGTCTCCACTTCTCTAGAGTCCAGTGGTGGCGTGCTTTACACTACTGCATCCGACACTTTGCATTGCACTTGGTGATGTAAGGCTTGGATGCAGCTGCTCGGCCATGGAAACCCATTCCATGAAGCTCTCTATGCACTGTTGTGCCAATCTGAAGGCCACACGAAGTTTAAAGGTCTGAAGCTATTGACTCTGCAGACAGTTGGCGACTTCTGCGCACTGTACGCTTCAGCATCCGCTGACCCCGCTCTGTCATTTTACGTGGCCTAACACTTCGTGGCTGAGTTGCTGTTGCTCCCACTTTCTTATACCACCACTAACAGTTGACCGTGGAATATTTAGTAGCAAGGAAATTTCACGGATGGACTTATTGCACAGGTGGCAACCTATCACGGTACCACGCTTGAGTTCACTGAGCTCCTGAGAGCGACCCCTTCTTTCACAAATGTTTGTAGAAGAGTCTGCATGCCTAAGTGCTTGATTTTATACACCTGTGGCGATGGAGGTGATGGAGGTGATTGGAACACCTGAATCCAATGATTTGGAGGGGTGTCCCAATACAGTGTACATATTTGACATACTTTTTTTCCCCATGTGAATGCTGATTTTTTTTGCTTAGCTACTGAGCATGCGCAATATAGAATTATGTCTATTACAATTTCAATTGTTATTTATGTTTTGAATGTGTGGTGTACATGTTATACAATATGATGACTATATGGGGCATATGAACTCTTATAAAAACTGACTTGTGTCTATCATAGATCTATAAATATATTTATTGCTCCAGAGAAATGTACCGACCATAAAAATGAAGTTACTTTCCAGGTCTAAAATCTCACTTGTTTTGCTTGCACATTTAGTAAAAATGGTAAAACTTTTTTTTCAATAAAGAAAGATGTCCATCCTCCAAGGACATTGCCAAAAAAATTAAGCATGCTGAGAGTGGGAGAGTCACACCTGGCTGGCCAGTGGCTTTTTTGTTTTTGAGTGTCCAATTCCTCCTGTAGTAAAGTATATCACCAGCACACCAAAGTAAAATCTTCAACGAGTGGTCATTTTATTGATGTACACATATCTCGTCATAAAGCAATGTTTCAGGGCCACTCAGGGCCTCTTCATCAGGCATGACCCTCCTCCTGTAGGCAGCAATATAACCCAATTGTTTATGAATACAGAATCAGGTGTCCATTTACGAACGAGAAAGGAATGTGGCTAATATACTGCTTCTGTCCGTAAATAAATCAAGTGTGCCCTATATTGAGATTATGAAATAAGATGAGAACTGTAACATTTACTAAACAGCGGGTGTGCATGTTGGTGTTACAGAGGTAAAAAAAAAGTTATCTGAGGAATCCAATTGTAAAACAAATAAAAAAAATACAAAAATCAATAGGATCAATAGATGGCCCACATTTACATTTCACTGTCCATTACAGTAAGTACAATGCCAACAACATACATGTACCTACCGTAACCTTCCATCTTGAGCTGCAGCTCCCCCAGAAATAATTTTTGTTATGAAAATGCTTGTATCATCTCCAATATGTGGATTATCTGTACCTCCTGCAATGCTAAAGCCAAGGCCAGATGTACCCTAAAAAAAGAAGAAAAGGACAGAAGTTGTAATATGAAACGGCAAATGACTGGGATTCTAAAAGCAATAAGAGGAATGCTTTGCCGAGGTGTCCATTTTATATTTTTATTAGGGAGGTGTACAAACACTCATCAGGTGAGACTCACAGGCAATAAACTTAAGAAAGTGCTCTGAAGGGGAAATAACGACACTGATAGGCTGGTTGGAAAACACTCAAAATACATAACACAGTTAGAAATGCTATCTGTTGAGGAGAGAGCTAATGCAGAAACAAACCATTGTTTTAAAAGGTGTTGAAAGAAATTCCTGTTAGCTCACGGGAAAAGACTACATAAAACCCCCAACATGAGCCCTTCTGCCCTAACAATGGACATACATCTTGCAGTCTGATTAAATAATCCTCTTCAAATCTATGAACAATTTGTAGCTAATCAGGAAGGTTCTGTACTATACGGGTGAATTGCAGATGTAGGGATTCAACTAGATAGATTTAGTAGATCTACAGTTAACTGAGAAGAGATTGCACATTTAGTTTTCAAGGCTTTATACATACTTAGGGTTGTGTATGGAATTCAGAATGCAAGTTCTACCTCAAGGAAAGCCAAGACAGCCAAGTAATCAGACATTGCAGGCATCACTCATTTTGCTGTACTGCTTTCAAAAGTGCCTATGCATTTGTCAGGAAGCCAGGGGTGTTACCTCTTCGCGGGGCCTACGGGCACGACGCGTGTGCCCGGGGAGGGAAGCCTTCTGGTCGCCTGGGTGACCAGGGGGTGGTCTTACATCCCATGGCTATAAAGCCCTGGCTTGTTGCCGAGTTATTACACCCTATGGTGTGATCACCTAGCTCCCTGCCTGCGTACCTTGCCATTGCGTCCCGACCCTTCATCTGGACTTCCCGTTTACTGACCTTGGACCGATTATCGCCTCTGAACCTTTGGTGCCCACCTCGACCCAGATTGGGCCCCGACTACCCCTTTGGATTGCCCCTTTGCAATTCTGTTCTCAGACTTTTTCAGGCCACTTCCTGCCAGTGTGTTCCCTACATGCTGCCAGCCCATAGGGCACGCCTGCCACCCCCTGACAGTATTAAAGCCCACATCCAGCCAAAATGTTTCTTTAACCGCTTTATATACCGTACGTATATAAATGGCGGCAACCTGATGCGGTTCTACCAGATCACGGCTGCTGCAGGTATAATTTTTATACAGCTGGCAATGGCTGTCACATACAAGCGTTCGGGCAACTATAGAGCCAACCAATCGCTTGTATGGTGCAAGAACATAAACATATTTGTTTTAGCAGTGTGGGGAACATCTTACAAAGTTTTTCATTGCTATCTGCAGTATACTATGCCAATTAATTAAATATGTAATTTGGCGAGGAGTGCCCAAACTGTGACTATAGTAGCAAATGTGCAGTTACTTAAACAGTTCATTTGAAATAGTAGCATTAAAATAAGTCACAGACATGTGCACAGGACTATTGTGTCACAATTATTAGTGGGGAACTGCTATAACTTCTAAACAATGAATAAAGTGGTAAATGTCTGGCACCTCTAAGAAAATGTTAATTTTTATTGATTATATTTTTGGGCAGCTATCATTAACTTTTTTGATAGATGCACTAAAAAGGCCACAGATATAAAGGAGGAAATGCAAAAAACCCCCCACAAAAAACCCATAGGGCCGCAGCTGCCCGTGTTGAGACTGACAATCTGACAAAGACTCTCCAATATCAAGACAGCATGGCAAAAGCCAATTTCACAGTGGACAGAAATATGGTGAGCACTCCCTGGTATACAGAGAGCACATGGGGACACACAACGAAAATGGGTGAACAATGCATAAGGAATTCCGACCACCTCAGATAGGTGAGGGACTTGTAAATTACTTTAGGATTTAGATTTTCTAAACTTGACACTGCCCTTAGTAGTTTAACTGAAGTCCATGAGAGCCATGTATGACAATGCTATTTGATTGTACTGAGTTTAGGCTAAATTGTACAGAAATCTTAAGGTGGCACAAAACTTTTGGATAAGGTTGCACAAAACTCTGACTGAAAATAAGAACATGTTTTTGTGACACATTTCAATCTTTCCTGTCAACCAATTTGTCTTAGATTACAATTCTAAGATATTTCTATACCATTCAATCTAACCCTTAGCAGACTTAGCATACTTAGCAACTTGTGACCAGTTTAGTTACACGTATTAATATCCTGGAATAAGCAAATGGTCTGTCTTACGTTGTTCTAGTATACAGTGTGCGGAATGCTTCTTAATTCAGGAAGAAATACAGTAGGATGCTATATGACTGAAGTGTGTCATCCAAAGGCAGAATATAGTCCCCATATTTTCATTTCAGAAATATACAGATAAGCAGTCTGCATCATACACACATAAAGGAAAGGAAATCAAGGAACTCAAGGGCATGGCAGCAACGTTTACAAAACTGCCCTGCTGAACCACTGACTGACCTCAACATTAAACCCAAGCAATGAGCCTGGAGCTACCCTAGGCTGCTAACACAGGAAAGGGGGTTGAGTGGTTTAAGAGACAGTCAAACAAGATACAGAGGAAGGGGTAAGTGGCTATAGAAATAAAGCCACACAGAAAGGAAAGGAGGGGCACAATGAAAGACATTAAAGAGCTAGCGAATGAATAAACTGCAGTTATTAGGGCCTATGTCAATGACTTTGGGCTTGTTTCGATGGCATTGCTATGGTACATGTTTGACATAAGATTGTACTGCTTCTGAGATCGTTCACAGTTCACTGGCAAGTGCATCTGACCTGCAGCTGACCTCCCGATCTGCATCTGACATTCTTTAAGATGGTTTTGAATCCCATAGACTTAAATGGGAAGGCAAAACCCATTTGAAGGAAACAAAATCCCTTAGAGGATTATGAAATTTAAAGATGGGTGATTGAACTGTAAATAGAAAAGGATGTTTTCTTGGTGAGAAGGTAACAACACATCTGCTTGCATACTCATTTCCCTACTGGAGGAGAAAGTGGCATCGGTGACTCACTTTCTTTAGGTTGTGCATCTCTTCAGGGGGAGAAGGAAATATAAAGCACAGGTACATCACTTTCGCCTCCATAAACAAGGACAGAACTGGCTTCTGAAGGCACGAATAAAGGTCTTGTGCATCCCTTGAGTTGGAGGGACCACAAAACCCACTTTGCCTCCATCCTACTTTACTTCTAAAAGGATCGGGTGAGTATATATTTTTGTAGACCCTAGACCAAAACGAGTACTTAACCCTTGCAGTGCAGGGGTAGCCCCACTGTAAAGGATAAAAAAAATTTAACGGCCCAGAGTTCTTCTTTAAATCTAAGCAATTTTTATACATTACTATTTGTTCTATACATATTTCTATGAAGAATACTTAAGTAGGACATTTGTGTGTTACCCTTTCAAGTGTGATTTCTTCATATTCATAATCTGCATCTGTTCCATTTACCTATGAAATAAACAAACACAAATACGTTACATGGCATGTAAAGTCAGTAAAATAAAACCAAAAAACACCAGGGTGAGTCTTAAAGCGGAGAGTATGCCAATTTTACTTGAAAGAAAAAAAAAAATGATAGCGAGCCAATGTCAAAGGACACATTCATCTTTTTAAAAGAATCTCCCATAGCCCCCCAATACACTAAACTAATCCATCGTCCTCCACACTCCCCCCCATGCCCACAGGGACTGGTTTACTTACTAACATCCCACAGATTTGAATAGCCATACTGTCGCGGCAATACCCAGTTTTAAGTCTATGAGCCATTAGTGCACAGGTAGCCCAATTCAGGGGGGGGGGGGGGGGGGAGCCGTGGAGGGGGCGCACATCCCGGGACCTCATACAAGCGATCCGCCGGCGGATAGCTTGTATATTAACGGGATCTAGAGAGCTCCTGGCCGGCCGTTTTTTTACAACGACTGACATCAGTCTGACTTTAATTGCTGCATGCCAAGCATTGATAAAAGCAATGGCATCAAAGGCAGTCAGGTAACTAGCATTTCCCGTCGTTTGAGAATAGTAGCATTCATTTTGTGAAGTATTCATTATTAATGCTCAAAATAAAGGTTAAATATTACAGTTAAACTATTAGCTTATTTAGCGGAGCAGAACCACATGAAATGGCCAGATAAATCCATCTGTTTTAATCCCAGAAATGTTTATATTCAAACACATTTTGATTGCATACAGTAGTTTAATGTGAATCCTTCCAAATGTGTTGAATGTCATCAGATTAGATCTAAAACAGTCTAATCAACAATTCACCCAAAAACAGATTTAAGTTATAACATGCTTCTATAAAAGCAGTTTAAAAACGTTTTGGACTTTTTCTACCAATAGTTGGCCTGTTAATGGGCATACTCCGGCCTACATATCCAATGGTTATCCAACTGGAAAATGTAAACATATAACATTAACGTTGCCATCAAGCTCTCCAACAACCATTTCACCTGCATCCAAATGGCAATCTTCAAAAATGCAAAGCAATCTCAAATGGCAAATCCTGACATTGTCTAACCCAACATTGTCTAACCCAACATAAGTTGATCAACAACGATTTTTTTCCAGTGGCATCACAGTAGGTACTAAATAAGAAGTATCTTATATTATTACCTTATATTAGTACCTTATATTAGTATATATTAACATATACTGTTAATTGCACATTAGCTCTGTATCCATGTAGGTGCAAAAGTTCATGCACCAAATATTAAACATAAAAATAAATGTAATTTACAACAACAAAAAAGAGCCAAGCCTAGCAATATGTTTTTTTAGATACATGGCTTAAAGGTTTGTATGATGGTGGGGAAGAAAGTTTAAAATGAGCTCTGGGATTTATTTTTTTGGCATTTAAATAGTCGCTTGTTCTGTGTTTGGCAGCTTAGTATTGACTGTATTGGCACCAAGGTTGGATATCCATAAATATATCTTTTAATTAACAAAAATGCTATAATCTTGCTAAATAAGTTAAGGTTTTATAAAACTTTCAAAAAGGCAACATTGTACGATGTTCACAGGAACACACACAAGTTACCATGTCAGGCCGTAGAAGAAGTTAATGCTCAGACAATTCTGTCCAACCAACCGTTGGGAGAATGAGATGTGATACTGAATACCAATTTCTAATGAAACCACTGGGAAAAGATCCAAGAGATATTAAACTTCACAAATACTGAAAATGTTATGCACAGCTTTTGTTTATGAATAAACAGACAGGAAAGGCTGGAATGCCATTAGCAAAGCAACAGTCATCAGCTAATTATTTTGCTCTTCTGGCTTAGCTCATTATTAGCTGTGTTTGTAAACTGCTTGCCTCATTCTGCCATACTTTAGCACACATTTATGGCACACACAAACTGTCCTTGAATCACATACTATTCTGTTAAATATGGTATATAGCAAAATAAGGCAACCAGGTATCTGCTGTGGTGATCTTGGTTCAGGCAAAATGCACTGATTAGTATATTTTATAGGTAATTTATAGCAAGAGCCACAACTCTGCCATTAAAATGTCCTCCAACTGGCACCAATAAGTGTAAATGAAATCGATTAAAAAAAAGAAAAAATCTGCCCCATCCATAGAAAGACATATGTGCCTGCAGCCACTGCCATCTCATGTCCACCAAAAAAGGTGGAGATTATAGCAGGCTGTTGAAGAAAACACACCTGCAGAGGACCAGCAAATGCATCTCTCTGTGCGATCTGGAAATTACACAATATCTAAGCTGCAGGTATCAGGGAGAGGTGCCTCGGTGATGTCACCACAACCACTTCGATTGAATCATGGGCAGATTAGAATAGCGACTACTGGCAAAGTTGCTAGTCGCCGAAACATATCAGCCGAAAATGGCACTTTTGCCAAAATGCCATCTTTTGGCCGAAATTGCGGTGCATCCCTGGTTTCTCTCCTCCCCGCTGGGCGTTGCTCTGTGTCCTCTGACACAGCGCAGACCCAGCGGGGAGGAGAGAACCTTTCACAGGAGGCCGAGCGGTTCGGGGGAAGGAGAGCGCTGTGAGAGGCCGGCGTCTCTCCTCCCCCAACGCTAAGGCTCTTGTGACAGATCAGGAGAGTGGAGGTGAGGGGGAGGAGTCAGCTGGCAGAGATCGCTCGCTCAGTCTCCTGTGACAGTGAGTCAGGATGGAGAACGGGTACAAGCACTCAGTGATCTAATAATCGGCTAACTAATCGATTTTGAAAATAATCGTTAGCTGCAGCTCTACACTGAGTGTTTGTAAATATTTGAGGACATTGTATGTGTACTGTGTCCCCAATTACAAATTAATGGGAAGTGATTTACATCACTTCGTGTTAATTCATGATTGTGGATATAGTAAACATACTCTGCCCTCAAGTTATAAATGCAGGAACACTTAGTATAGAGGATTCCTGTTCATTTATAACAGGGGCTGCAGAAAAAGAGATTGAGAACAAAAAGAGTCCTCAATATCTTTTTCCATTTTAAAAAGGGAAATATCAGGGGTCTATTTGGACCCCTAATATTTCCTCAAAGCCCCCAACAGTAATGTAAAAAAAAAAATTAAAATATTTTATAAAAAATAAATAAAATATTTAAAAAATTTGAAAAGGTTAGACATTTTTATTTTTTTTGGTCTGATACTTTTTATTTTCGGTTTGATCATTTCATTTTGGTGCACCTCCAGTGCCCACCATTACTTTGCTTTCTATGACATAATATCACTCTCAAAACGCCAGACTTTGGATTTGTAGACCAAAGATGTAAGCAACTAAATATGTTTCTGTTTAGAAGTCTGGAATAGTTACATAAATCTAGCAAAAAATATTTTGGTAAAATGGAATCCTCCCCATTTGGCACACTGCCACAGCAATAAACCAAATGATTCACAAGCCCTCCGCATTATTTAGAGTCAGGCAATGCTTAGAAACATATAAAGATAGATATTCACGTGTTCACACTTACATACGGAGGCGTGTCCAGGCTATCTGTGTTTACAATCACTGGAGGAGGATTTGCCTTAAAAAAAGAAGAATAAAGCAAAATACTTTTTAGTAATAACATTTCTTACAGATGGTGAAAGTTCTTTTTAAGCTAATTGAAAGCTTTCGGAACCAACACATGCAAGCAACTGCACATTTAATTTTCGGATGTTGAGTTAGGGGTCACAGAAAAGCACAATGCTCCAAGATTAACAAGCGGCTGCTTCGGAAATAGAAAAACTGGCATTGTATTCAGAGGAGCTCACAGGTGCAGATGAGAAAAATTCTCAAACTTAAGAGGAAAAAAACAAAAACGAGGATTCTTACACTCTGTAGACTGTTGATTAAAAAAATATACATACACTGAGGGACACAGGAGTATAGTAATCTTTTGACATTTAGGTTATACCATATTCAGGAGCTTTGGACACTGGCAAAACTAAAAAACGGTGAGCCAGCCCCTATATAAACCCGCAGACCTCCATACCTCAGTTTTGTGAGCAAGCAATACATAAGGCCAACAACACAGAGGCAGAACCTGTGGACTTAAATATTTTTCTTGTACAGTAAGTATGTTATGACAACTACATGAACAGGAAGAGAAAGTTGAACCAACAGCTATCAGTTGGTCAACAAAAAATGTTTACAATAGGTAAAAGGTCAAAGCCTGGTATACCTAGCCCTTGACCTAAGGGAAAGAAAGGTTACACAAAGCATGTCTCAACAAAGAACCAACCAGGTAACAGCTGGAGGCAGAAGTAGGACACCCATAGCCCTAAATTTCAGGGAAATGCCTATGTATATTATGACAGCTCTCTCAGCAGCAAACTAAAGTGAAAGCTGGAAGGAAACCTTCATTGTGAAACAAAGAAGGAATAGAGCAGTGGTGTGGAATTCCTATCGCCCGACGCCCAGGACATGCAGTTTTGGGTGCCGGGCAAGTAGTTTTTTTTGTACATTTAGCACTGCTTTGGACAAGCAGGGCTAAATGTCCAGTTGTTTTTATACAAGTGATCTGATTAGCTCACTTCTATGAAACAAGCAGCGATCTTGTCCGGGCCCTCCCTCCTCGCTGTGGTTTTTGGGGTCCCCTGCTCCTCTGGGGGACCCGGGACCACAGCACATGAGCTCACCATAGAGCAGACTAAGAACGTCCGTTCTTCGTCTGCTCTGTGCGATCACTGAGACCGGAGCGCCACCTGTATCAGCTGTCAGGAACTGCACAGAACATCTGTTCTGTGTTGGAAGGCAGGTTCCATAAAGAGTGCCTGTCACCTCCAAACTATAACATAGGGGCCTTTAAGGGGCTAAGTGAAAATAAATAAAAATAAACATTATTTATATATATATATTATATATAATATGGAAAAAAAGTTAGAAAGTAAATAAAAGTGATAAAAAAAAACCAACCCCGCCATCTACATGCTAATAAACACACGCGTAGGACATTGTGTGTGTGCGTTGAGTGCTGCCGCCATTCCATGTGCCATATTGTGGTAGCCAGGCAGCAGAACTCTCTTACACGCACAATGTGCATTAAAGGGTAAAGTTCACTTTCCCAGGTAATAGGGGAAAATGGAATTACTCAATCAAATCTGGCCCAGTCTCGGCCAAACCCACCCACCCAGCTATACTTACCTTTCGGCAAACAGTCCTTACCCTCCACCAGTACATGTGTACCATATGTACCCTGTACTGCTGTCCAAAATAAGTGCATGAATAAAGTCACTCGCACTCCAATAGAATTTCAAGTCAAAAGCGGTTTGACTCGATTGCTATCACATCATATAGCAACGTTTTGGAACAGAGGTTCCTTCTTCAGGCAAACAGAATGTGAGTGACTTTATACACAGTGCGAGTGACTTTAAACATACACTTATTTTGGATTACAGAGGCATCTGCAGTCACTTTGGCACCCAACTACACTAAGGGTATTATTCAGTCAGGAGTGCGGTGGGTACACTGGATTTTGGACTGTACTGCTGTCCAGCGCAGTCCTGCCCTATGCATTTTGAATTTCGCTCGCAAATTGCAAGCACTCATTGGTCAGCATGGTCAGGTGACAACGCTGACCAATGAGAAGCGCTGTTTAGCACAGTCAAATACAATTTTGATTAGGGATGCACCGTTATAGAGTATTTGGGTGAGTACTTGTACTCGCCCAAATGTTCCCATATCTTCCTGGATACCGTACATTCCGGTCAGAGGAAGATTTTCTGTGACCAGCAGTGCTGTAGGGGAACATGGAGGCAGCTTTCAGTGCAATCAGGAAGTAGGGCGGCGAGTAATGACCCGCCTCCCGGTTTTCTGATTGGCTGGGAAGTTGGCTTCCCGGCCAATCAGCTCATTACTTGCGGCCTGGCTTACAGATCACCTGGGAAGCCTGCTCCATGCCAACAGAAGTATCGGTACTCGATAACGGCGAGCACCGAAAGCAAAATAATGGTGCTCGTACTCAATACCCCAAAACTGGTATTGGTGCATCCCTGGTATTGAGTAAAACAATTTTTTTGTATTGGGGCAAGTAGATTCGGACCCACTTTAGCCCTTGGACAAGTTGGGTTTTTTTTTGTTTAATTTCCACACCACTGTAGAGTACAAAGTCTCTTACATGGATGGGGAGATCCACACACCTATAGAAAAAGAAAGGCTGGGTGAGGATATAGTGTAATGCAATAGACAAGAAATCAGTAACGGTAGAGACGCCATCAAATTTTGTGGTGGTATGGAGAACTGGAGGGATCACAGTGGAATGAACCATTTAACAACAAATTGAACGGGGGAAAAGCTTCATCACATCCTCAGGAGGAAGGCATGATTGCATGGGATTTTCCCAGTCCTTCAAGTAAAACTGAAGTGACTGGGACACAACAGAGGTTGTGCCACAGCTCTGAACCTGAACAGTGCTCTGCAGCTAACACTAGTGTCTTGAAGTGCCACAATGCAAAGCAGTGTCCGAAGATAATACATTATGTTATCCGTGCCAATTCTAGAGATGTACACACAGACGGTGACACAGGCAGTCATCTGCTATTGGGTTACACCAGAGGTTGCACAACAGGTCTGAAACTGTAGAGCACTCTGCGGCTAAAAGACAGTACACATGGGCCTGGAAAGTGTCACAAGCAAGTAGAGCAAGTTTATGAAGTTGGAGGAAGGGTTATACAGGGCACGAATGAACGTTGTTTTAGTTTGCAAATGTCCAAACCCCCTGAAGGAGCCAGTATAACCCAAATGTCCATAAATTACTATATTCTTGTGTACCTCAATGAACAATAAATTAAATGTGTTGAGAAAAAAAAAAACCCAAACACAAAGGCAATACCATGTTTTAAGTCTTGCAATGTATCATATTACTGCTGCAGGGGCTAGACTGATCTGCATTCCCAAACATTACAAATATTTGCTTCCAAATGATGAATCGATCATAGGGCAGAAAATGGATTGTTGCCAGTTGTTACATCAGGCTGCTGCATCTGTACCTCATGCTCAGCAAGTTTTTATGCCAAATCCCTTGGTAGTTAGTTATATATCCTGCTCCATTGAGAAGCATAGGGCCGAAATGAAGGACTTCCAACTGTTGACGGTTCACAGCTTTTGGTTTGACCTGCAGCCAGGTCTGGTTCACCTCAATAGCCTTATCATCATCATCATATAGGATTCGCCGTCGGGAGCCCCTGGGTCTGCCTTTCCTGCGCTGTCCATGGGGATTCTAATCAAACGAATGTCTACAGATTTAATTTGTACCCTTTTATATGATATGTCCAATCCATCTCCATTAACGTTCTCCGATTTCTGTTGCAACCAGTCTTTGGTGGCATCGCCGAAGAAACTCTATAATAGGGATTTAATTTTGTGGCCACCAGGCAAGAATAATGTATCGCAGGCAATGGTTTACAAAAACATGGAGTTTTGGCATTTCTCAACGCACACACACAATGTCCTACGCGTGTGTTTACACTTGGTTGCCTACCAAATGTGGTTTTCCATACCTACACACAGAATCTGGCTGCCCAGCTGCAATAGTGCCAAATACAGATATATTCATGCTGCTATTGAAGTAGGGCTGCAATTAACTACTATTTTCATAATTGATTAGTTGGACGATTATTTTCTTCGATTGATCGGTTATGATCGGTTAAAGATTAAATACCATCTTTTGTTTAAAATGAAATACACAAATGGAGTGTTACAAGCAAAGTTTACTTCAGAATAAAACTGCATGAACATTTTCTGCAATCACACTGCACTGGAATGCACAGCATTGCAGTACCGTGCGTTCCAGTGCGGGTGATCACACTGCAGGCGGGAGGCGCGTTTGGGGCGCCATTAAAATGAATGTCACCGCAACACACATCCTGCAGCAGTATTTGTTGGGCCGAAAACCAAAAATTACTTTTCACACTTTAATATATTTGTTATAATTGTATGTATTATATTAGACATTTAAACACGATTTCAAATAATATGAATTGTAAAACTCTAACATATTAAAATAGCCAAACTACATGGGGGCAAATACAAGGCCAGGTCACCTTGTACAAGGAGCGAGAGCAGGAGTGACCAGTCTTCATTACAGGAAGCATCTGCACATAAGAAAAGTTTCACACTGTCTTGGCATTTTTCCTTCACTTCCACAATGTTTATATCCTACATGCAGAGTGTGGCAATATGTAGATATTTGATGAAAGTAGCAGATTTTACAAGCTGGCTGTACATTATAGGGTTGAAGATACAGGTGGATTAATGCCAAAGGTTGAGACTCTTTACTTAAATCGATGTAAAATTCACTTCAAATATCCAATCATGTGAAAAGCAAATGCAAAGGGAATTTTCACTTGGCTCAGGAAATGAGGCGAAGCTGTTCCTAACATGTAGTTGAATATTCCTTGCAAAGTGAATTTTCACTTACATTTGTGAATAAGGTGAAATTCCCTTTGCAAAGTGAACATGCTCGACTCTTCGTATATCAGCCACAAGTAGTGAAGATTCTCAACTTCATTAATAAATCAGCCTTACTAGGTCAGTCCACAATGAAGGGATGTAGGGAAGGTATAAAGAGGGAAGGAGTATATATAAAAAATAAAATGAAAATTAAAAAAAACCTAAAACTGTCTATTCTGGAAATTCAAAGGCTTTCTGGTGAAGCTTGCATACCAGCTTTCTCAACACCCATGGATACTCATATGAAGTCTCATGGAATTAAAGTGATTTCTACATTTTGATTAACGTGCTAACATATATAAACTAATTATATGTGAAAAATATCTATAGTAGATGTATGATATAATATACAGTCATGGCCTAGTATATTGGCACCCCTGCATTTCTGTCAGATAATGCACCACGTCACGCAGAAAATTGTTGCAATTACAAATGTTTATGTATTCCCATGTTTATTTCCTCTTTTTGTATTGGTATGACACAAAAAAAGTGGAGGTAAAAAAAAAAAAAAAGCAAAATCTGACAAATTCCATGCAAAACTGAGCATCCGTGTGTAATTCAATATTTACCTACGGTGATTATGGTACGATAATCACCGGAAATCCCACGATCGTACGATAATCGCAAAGTGTATGGAAGGCGTACGACCGTTTCTACTGTACAATTGCACGTTTTCCGTCGAACAAGCAGGCTGGAAAACACGCCGAGAATAGTAAAATTCTCGGCGGGTTAGTGGCGTGCTTGTTCGACAACTGGCGAACGGGCTGGTGTGCGCATGCGCACACTGCCCGTTCAGCATTGCAGTCATCGGAAGCCCGCCCCACAGCGGGGCGGGCTTTCGATGATCGCAAGTACGATCTGCCTGTCCAAGATGGGCAGATCGTATGTTTTAATTACTTTACAACCCTCGCAAGACAAAAGTCTTGCATGGGTTGTACAGTGTATGGCCACTTTTAGTCTGACATTGTAGGTCTATGGGAACCAAGCGATTGACTGTTAAGGAGGTAACCAATATAAGAATCAAAAAGGATCAATACACATAAAAACATGCAAAGATTTCTATGTAAATGCACATCACAAGCAACCATGTGCATATTGAATTAAACATGCCAATTAACTTTTTTTTGTTTTAGATGCATCTGGAAATCTGGTATATCAAGGTTTACATCAATATCACAAGAGGCAATTAGATATTAGAGCAAGGCTGGGCAAATCCCAGGAGCCAGGTAGCTAATGCTCCTTAAATTTACAGTGGGCACCTAACTTTTGCAGTTTCCTTTAGTTGTTAATTTGCTGGCTTCTGGATTGGACAGACTGGGTCTTGAATTGTACTTTAATTTGCCCACTTCTGTATTAGAGCAAAACAATGCAATGTGAAAAACAAAAATAGCTTATACTAAAACACATAGCAGGAAAATACACAAAAGAAAAAAAAAATGGGGAGAAAGACCTGTGGAGTGGAGGATGGAATGACATTGCTTTCAGCAGGGACTGGAACAACAGGGATCACAGGGACAATGGGAGGACAAGGAGCACCAGCATCTGTGGACTAAAGAAAAAAAGAAATACAATTGAAACAAAAAAGTAAAAAGTAAGATAAGGTGAGTAGGATAGTGGATAACACATAAAATTCATGACCCCCCAAGTTTTCATTAATGGGACAGTGTATAACCTTTACTTCAATACATACAAAGAGGAGCTTGAATGTGGCCCAGAAATAGACATTCCAATACTGGTTTTTCACTATCGAGTACCGATATTTAGATTTTGGTACTGGATACTGTTATTTCTGCTAGCATGGAGCCAACTTCCCAAGCATTTAGGATTGCCCTGGAAACCAGCCTTGTTGTTCGTCCGGCTCGATTCACTGAGAAGCTGGCGTCATGCCATGTTACCCACCGCCCAGCTTCCTGATTGGCTGGGAAGCCACCTCCATGTTCCCTCGCGGCACTGCCGGTCAGAGGAAATCTCCTTCTGACTGGAGGTTCCAGTATCGAGGAAGGTATTGGAGCATTTGGGCAAGTACGAGTACAAGCTCAAATACTTGGTATTGGCACCGATACTAGCAACGGTATTGGTGCATCCCTAGTATATATACTTTTATCTGTTCAGCACATGATCTGAAACGGTATGAAAAAGCATTGCTTGACCGTGTCTCTCCCTCCAAAACCTGATGCAAAGGGTAAAACCAATGCCACCTAGCAATGTGCTGGGTCCTGAGCCAATGGGTCCATCATCTCTGTAGCACCACATGCTCACTACAAGAACTGTTGGTTTTTTAAAATAACAGAAACTCAGGCCAGTCAAGGTAAAATATTACATTTGTTTAATCTAGTTACATTCTTTTTTCTAGCCTTCTGTACTTGAGGTTTTCTTTATTAAAAAGGACATGTCACTACAGTAATTTTAGGGGACTGTGCAGAGTACACAAGTGGGACCACCAATCTGTAAAATGTCCTATAACATAAGTGATCTGCATTAGTCACATTTAACAGTTAACTAAAGATCACCACAAGTGTACAATTTGCTTTAGATTAGGGCTGCAACGATTATTTTTATAATCAATTGGCCAATTATTTTTTCGAGCGATTAAAAAGTAATACCATCTTTTATTTAAAATGAAATACACAAATGGACTGTTGAAAAGTTTACTTCAGAATAAAACTGCATGCACACTATTTTGCACCCGCACCGGAACGCATGGCAGTGCAGTACCGCGCGTTCCAGTGCAGGTGATCACACTGCAGGCGGGCAGCACGTTAGGGATGCCATTGAAATTAATGGCAACAACGCACATCCCAGAGCAGAATTTTCAAGCCGAAGCCAAAAATGACACTTGTCACCATATGATAAAATATATTGTAAAAGCCCAGTCATCAGTTTAGAGTTGGGCCAATATTCATGGCTGAGAATTATTGCTCTCACTCTGGCGCACATGGTGATACCTGACATGTGTAGCGTAATCGTCGTTTTTCTACATAGGTGCACCAGACTTGTATTTTCTTAAGTATGCATGTGTTCGTGGGGTTGGGGGACTACACATTTTTGGGTGGTGTTTTTAATTTAACTTTATTTTTTGCCTCTTTGCTATTACATGGTGGGGCTCACAAGCCCACTATGTGATTGCACAATGGAGGTGACAGGTTCTCTTTAAGGTGACATTAGGGGTCTTTTAGACCCTTAGTGTCATCTTTCCACTTCACTGGGTAATGACAACTGCCTGCTAAGGCAGCTGACTGTCAACACAGCATGCAGCGGCTGTGAGCAATAGCCAGCCTGCTTTTGGCTAATTCAAAATGCAATAGCAGGCCGACTGAGTGCTGTCAATCAGCAGAGGAGGGAACTGAAAGAGAAAGTTCAGGTCCTTCAGGTCCTCCTCTGCTGATTGACAGCAGGCAGTGGGCGAGTGGAATAGCCAGCCTGCTATTGCAGTTGAAAAAAGCCAATAGGAGGTTGGCTATTGTTTCCAGCTAGTGATGGGAGACTTGATGCCGGCTTTCTACCACCGGCCGAAGAGGGGCAAGGGGGAGCAGCAGAAGCACAGGGGCAGCAGCAGAGGAACGCAGAGGCAAAGTGGTCTCTCCTCCCCGCTGGTGCCGGCTGCAGCGGTCTGTGTCCCCACTGCCTCTGCCGATACAAGCGGGAGAGCAGCGGGGATTGAAAGGGACACAGATTGCTGCAGACGGCACAAGCAGGGAGGAGAACGGAGGAGCAGAGTGGCTGCGCATTGAACTAATCGAGTCAACAAATTGATAGTGAGAATTGTTCACAACGATTCTCATGATCGATTATATTCGATTTAATCAATTAGTTGTTCCCTACTTTAGCTGCACTAAACTATATAGTGCAAGGGCCTGTACGATTGGATGCAGAATAAATGGTTTGTTTAGGTACGTCCTCACATTACATAGTTTGGACAAATCAAAGGTTTATTGTACAAAGCTTTTACAGTAAGATTGTAACATGCATAGTGACCCTACTGCAGTACTGAACATGCAGTCAAAGTGCATGTACAAAACTGAAGTCATACAAACATTACTTAGGTAGACCTTATAATAAACTCAAAATATGCGCTTACTGAAAATATTCTATACTTCCCAATGAAAGAAATACAAGTTATATCTCAATTGCATATTCATTATTAATAATGTCACACACATACAAATTTAGCCATCAAAAAAATTGAATAATTTTAAACTTTTGTCTAAACACGCAACTATTTATAGACATACATTTAAACTCCAAATCCCCCAACCAAAATTATACAAGTTAAAAAAAAACACAAAAGAAAGCATGTCAATTATATATTACCCCTAAACTCCTCCCCTACTATTACATAGTTGACATGTTTAGATATACCCGCTTTACAAACCAAAAGAAAAACAAAGTAAAATGTAGTTTGTGTATATGCTCAGACTAAACCATCCAAATCCAGATAAATTGTTGTGCTGTGCAGCACATTTCAATCTTGGTATATGTAAAATTACAAGTAATAAGTGAGCAAATAAAAGTAGAGGGTAAAAAACAAGGTATGTTCATATGGTTAATATCTAAAGCAATAAAGTATACAAGATTTCAAAGTATAACAAATACATATTTTCTATCCATTAAACTAACCATGAGACTGTATAAAAAGGGTGAATAAACGCTCACAAAAGATTAAAACGTCTCACTGTGCAGGGTAAGGAGCAGTCCATCAATGAACCATTTATACCAAGTACATTTAAATATAATAACATAGTTGACATGATGATGACTATCACAAAATGTCACCATTTAAACCAATATTTTTTTTTTATCACAGGTGAAGTATCCACACAACATTATATTGAACAGAAAAACTTCAGAGAAATACAAAAACTGCACACTAGGTCAGATGCAACAATGCAGAAATTACATGCACACCTCCAATATACTACACTAAGCTTGCCAGTAAAACCATCACCTGGAAAGAAGAAATGCTACAATAATACCTTCACAAAAGAATAATTTGACCAGGAGCCATCAGACCACGAGCCACTCGTTGCTTTTACTTTGGCTGTGCTTCTAGTCGGACTTTTTTTTACACTGTCGCGCAGATGAGTAAATTTCCCTTTACTCTTAGAGGAAGCTGGCAAGGTTGAAGAGCTGTAAGATCTCTGCATACACGTTTGTTGCAAAGGCTGGCGAGTGTGTGATATTGAAGAAAGCTGTAGTCTTTGATGCATCTCCACTGCATTTCTAGAAAGACTTGCCATGGCAAAAGGTCTTTAAATCACAATCTTTCAATTGCCTCTATATCTAACACACATGTAAACACAGAGATGCAGAGGGGAAAAAAAATACATATATATCCCAGAAAAAGGCATATACATAAAAGGACAGTTAACGAGGTAGGAAAACCAAATACAATTCCTTCTGTAGCTCACTCACTCGTTCGTTAATTAAACGCCACCACTGGAATGAAACAGGACAACCCCATTTCTAAGCATGAATAATCAATTCCTAGTAAAGATTAAAATGTGACATAGAAAAAGGTCAGATAAGTGACAAACCAGTGCTTAGAGACATTAGACCGACAAAATTCTACCTCCGTTTTACCTACTAAATAAAAAAAAAAAAATGCAATACAAGAGCTTTTCCAGAATTTAAATAGCGAACACTGTTAGAAACCATAGACACATGATAAAAATAACAAGCAAATAAAATGATAAAGTTTAGATCTGAGAGGAAGTTCACAAATGAAAAACATGTTCTTACCAAATGTAGCCCTATACTTCAAATATTTCAAACTTACAATACATTGTCACATTCCAGCTGTAAAAGAAGTGTACAGTATTTTCTCGATATACATTTTCTTTTTATTTACAACAGCCTTTTCTCATGCCAATGTGTTGCACAAATGTCATGTTTTAACACTCTTTTAAACTGAACTGGTAATTTGACCATTCAGGAGACTTAATAACCGGTACTGCTATCAACTCCGTGTTATGCTCCGCAACATTACTCACTCAGCGGGCAATAGCCCGCTATATAATGAGCTTCGGGTCACGGTAGGTTAGTAGATGTCCTCTCGTAACCCTAAAGAAAACTATGGGGAAAAACACTTACCTCATAGTTCTCTGTTAAGCCGGTATGGCGTGTAGGAATGGTCTGGGGTTTGTAAACGGTTAGCAGAAAGTGAATCAGGTTCATCACCCTTAAGATAGCAGAGATGCGTACGGTTAGACTGAGACAGAGTGGCTTCAGAAGAGTCCGAAACCTGCAAGTGGGCAGCCTCCAACTCCCTGATACTAGCCTCCCTCATTTTACGTTTCTGAACAGCTTTTCTAAATAAGGACACCATGAAGGGTCGAATAGAGTGACCGGGGACGCAACAGACTGATCATTCAAAAATAAATAAACTTGAATGGCACTCTGCATGTGGCAAGAAATAGCAGGGTCGCTTAGCAGGAAGTTCCAAAGTGTCAAAGACATCCCGGGAGGCCGGGACATAAGGAGTGCAGAATCAAAAGTAGTATCATGAGCCGACCAGAGGGTGGGTACAATACGTGCAGAGGAAAGGCAGGG